AGGCAATCCACTCACCTCAGCCTCCCAAAGCGTGGGATTACAGGCTGAGCCACCAAGCACTGCTAGCATTAATATTTCAATTGATATTTTTAACATAAAATTTGGATCATAGCCAGGTTCGGGGATCATGCCTGTAATCACAGCACTTTGGGAGGCAAAGGCAAGAGGACTGCCTGAGAGCACAGGTTCAAGACCAGCTTGGGAATTTTGGCAAGACACCATCTCTACAATAAATTAAAACATTAGCCAGCAGATGTGGTTCCAGCTACTTTAAAGGGCTGCAGCAGAAGGATCACCTGAGCCCAGCAGGTCGAGGCTGCAGTGGCTGTGAGTTAGCTACTACACTCCACCTGGAACAAAAGAGTGAGATTTCTACTCAAAAAACAAAAAAACAAAAAAAAAACAAGGAATGAGCCAGGTTCGGTGGCTCAGCCTGTAATCCCATGCCTTTGGGAGGCTGAGATGAGTGGATTGCCTGAGCCCGCGGGATCGAGACCCACCTGGACAGCGAGACCTCATCTCCACAATAAATCAAAAAAATCAGCCAGGCGTGGTAATTCCAGCTACTTGGAAGGCTAAGGCCGAAGGATCGCCGGAGCCCAGCAGGTCGAGGCTGCGGTGGCCAGGAGCGGCCACTGCACTCCAGTCTGGATGACAGAGTGAGACTCCAAGTCAACAACAACAAAAAAAAAAAAAACAGGGAATGGCAGATTCGTTTAAATTATTCCAGTTACCACCTCATAACCATGCTAAGAATGGACTGCGGACTGCAACGGTTACCACCACCTTTTAATAAGGCAAGCCTAGTAAAAATTATTTTGAGTAAAAAAAGTCTAAAAAGACCTACATTAGCCTGATTACAATGTATCATAAAGGAAGCAGAGACAGAACAGAGACACAAATAAAACCTTCAATTACAAAAAGAGCTGCCAAATCAAAATGCCCATATATAAATTTTATCAGATACACTACAACATAATAGGAACACAATTCAAACCTTTCAGAACTTGTGGACACTTATTGCTTACTAAAAAAATAGCCACTAGCTGCAAACTAATTTAAACCACTTGTATTATGCATCGTTCCCCACGAACAGTAACTAATACACTTTTATCATACTGCTTACATAGCAAGTTTTTAGAATCCTTTCCATTCACAAGAATGATGATAGGTTTTTCACACCCATGTGAGCTGTGCCTCCCCCAAACGTAGCTATGAAATAAGTACATTACTCTTCTACTACAAAGAAAAAGTATCATAAGTCACATTAATCATAATTACTTACTGTAATAAATCCATATCCCTTTGATCGACCCGTTTCACTGTCCATCATTAGCTGGATACTTTCAATCTAAAATCAAAAAGCACAATTTTTAAAGAAATCAAAAGGAGAGAGCATGAAATAAGTAATAAATATAAACAATAAATCAAAACGAGACAAGGGTTTTTATAAATCTAGAAAAATCTCCTCCTCCAGTAAATAGTTAAAAACATATCACAACCCATCATTCCCACAAAAATTCTACAAGTTTAAAACTACGCATGTAAGATTTTTGAAGCCGGGCTCGACGACTCAGCCTGTAATCCCAGCACTTTGGGAGGCTGAGGTGAGCCGATTGCCTGAGCCCGTGGGTTAGAGCCCCGCCTGGGCAACTTGGCGAGACCTCATCTCTACAGTATATCAAAAAATGAGCCGCGTGTGGTAGCACACGCCTGTAGTTCCAGCTACTTGGAAGGCTGAGGTGGGAGGATCGCCGGA